TTGAGTTATTGCCCTTTGTTAATTTTCATACTTTATTTTTGTCCAGGCCATTTCTCATAAATTATAAAAGCTTTAGACTTGAAACTTAATAGGATGATAGATCTTATTGATAAGAAGTGCAGTGCACAGAAACTGCTGCTCTGCATTTCTTATTTTTTGAGTTATTGCCCTTTGTTGATTTTCAAATTTCATTTTTGTCCTGGCCATTTCTCCTAAACTATATTGTTCACAAGGCGACACATCCGACTCGCGGAGTTCTAGTTGTCAGACACGTTTAGTTACCAGTCGTTTCTTAGTTGTTCTTCAATTTCGTTAAAAATTTTTGGCGGTTTTAACTGTAATCGCCAGAAATCGTTGAAGTTTATTTAATTTTCAAGAGAAAGGAACTGTATAATGTAGTACTGTGGTATTGTGTGAACGGAAGGAACTCTCGGAATTGGGAATATCACGCCGAATGAATTCGCAGAGAATTTCTAGTAGAAACAAAGAAAAAGTTGATCATAAGATGTTAGCTGAGGAAGGAGTGAAGGTGTTGATTGACAATGATCCTGCAATATGTATATAATACACAAATTGATGTATTGGTTGGTTTTCACTAAGTCCAAAGTGAAAGTAGGCCAAAATTCATATAATAACAAAGCTCACCATGTAAAATGATGGACCATTTGCAATTAAACCTCCAGGTCTGTTTTAAGGACTAATGAAAACAAAAATAAATGCAGGGTTACCACGCTATCCGGGAAAATGGGAAATGTCCGTGAATTTGAAAACAGGAGCTCCCGGCCATGAGCCCAGGAATTAGTGTTAATACATAAAAAAGTCCGGGAAGGTACAGGAAATAGACTGGAAAAGGGGAGATAAATCAAACAACCAAAATGGCTGTCTTAGTACAGTATATTCACAAATTTGAAAACCTAGCTAAACACCGTTTTCCGGTACTTTCTGTACATAGCCTGGGGAATTCACCCTAATGGAGTACAAAAGCTAACTCTGTTTTTTGTATTTTTTCAATTAAAGTGAAATAAAACAGCATTTCTTTGTAAGAAAATAATGAAATATCATTGTATGAATAAATTCATACAAACAAAAAAGGAAATACACAAGTTTACGCAGAAAATATCTTTATTTATTATGAAAGATGCCACTACGACTGTTTAAATTTAATTGATTTTCACTATTTAAAAAAAAAAAAATTTCAAACACAAACTTTTTTCAGCTAAGACAGTAAAATAATGATAGAAAAATAGAAATATCATGTGATAGTGTATGTTTTTTATTAACCAGGTTTTCAACGAAAACCGGGTTATTGTAATGCCGAAGTCGGCGGGCGGGCAGGCGGGCGGGCGTCAACTTTTGGTTTCCGCTCAATAACTTTAGTTTGCTTTGGCCTATTGAGACCAAACTTGGTGTGTAGGTAGCTTATATCAAGAGGCAGCTTGGGATTGCTACCCAGGTGTCTGTGATCAAGGTCAAGGTCACTGTTACTAAAAATAGAAATTCAGTTTCCGCTCAATAACTTGAGTTTGCTTTGGCCTATTGAGACCAAACTTGGTGTGTAGGTAGCTTATATCAAGAGGCAGCTTGGGATTGCTACCCAGGTGTCTGTGATCAAGGTCAAGGTCACTGTTACTAAAAATAGAAATTCAGTTTCCGCTTAATAACTTTACTTTGGCCTATTGAGACCAAACTTGGTGTGTATGTGGCTTTTATCAATAGGCAGCTATGGATTGCTACCCAGGTGTCTGTGATCAAGGGCAATGTCACAGTTAATAAAAATAGAAATTCAGTTTCCGCTCAATAACTTGAGTTTGCTTTTGGCCTATTCACACCAAATTTGGTGTATGGATAGCTTATATCAAGAGGCAGCTTTGGATTGCTACTCAGGTGTCTGTGATCAAGGTCACTGTTACTAAAAATAGAAATTCAGTTTCCGCACAATAAGTTGAGTTTGCATTGGCCCATTGACACCAAATTTGGTGTATGGATAGCTTATGTCAAGAGGCAGCTTGGGATTGCTACTCAGGTGTCTGTGATCAAGGTCAAGGTCACTGTAACTAAAAATAGCAATTCAGTCTCCGCTTAATAACTTTAGTTTGCTTTGGCCTATTGACACCAAACTTGGTGTATAGATAGCTTATATCAAGAGGCAGCTTGGGATTGCTACCCAGGTGTCTGTGATCAAGGTCACTGTTACTAAAAATAGAAATTCAGTTTCTGCTCAATAACTTGAGTTTGCTTTGGCCTATTGACAGCAAACTTGATGAATGGGTAGCTTATATCAAGAGGCAGCTTGGGATTGCTACCCAGGTGTCTGTGATCAAGGTTAATGTATTTAGTTTTCATGTTATAACTTGAGTTTGCTTTGACCTTTTGACACCAAACTTGCTGAGTGGCAGCTTTGGATTGCCACTGAGATATCTGGGAGCAAGGTCAAGGTTCTTTGCTTACAATAGAATTTTCAGCTTCTACTCAATAACTTCAGTGCACTTTGACCTATTGATTGCTGTCACATCAAAACTTGGTCGTTGAAAACCTGGTTTTCGTCGCATTGCGGCGCTTCTTGTTTGGTGTAATTCCCCAGAGCTAAATCTGTAACGTACCCGAAAACGGTGTTTAGCTAAGTTTTCGAAAAGGTCAATTGACTTCCGCATCTTCAGGGTTCCCGCTGGCGCTCGCAAATGGTGCCAAATGCGACAATATATTTATTCTGGCGCATAAAATCTTCAATTGGCAAATTTTACTGGCGCCAACGTAAGATAAAAATATCCGACAACTAGTACACTTAAAAGTACATCAGCGGCTGCATAAATGACATAAGCGGCACAGATGTGAAAGGTCATGCAAGATTAGTTTGTCATCGAATTGTGTGACACTTGAGGAGGTTCCCCAACATGTGGAGATAAGAGTATCAATGTGTTAATTGGAACAATTTACCTCTTTAACCCCCACATAGAGCACTGTAAATTGCATGTGTGGTCAGTAGCAAATTTGAGAAAGGAAAGATTGTCCGTGATGTTGACAAAAATTAAACTTTACGAAAGTCGACTCGTCAACTGACTAAAAATAATTATAGTTTGAAATATAGTTTGAAATATTTAATCGGGTGACAATTAAAATAAAAATTTCACTAATAATAAATTTATTTAAAGTCACTGTTTACTGCGTTAACATTGTTAATATCTAAAATATGTTAAAATAAAAGTGATCCCTTGGAAGAATTAAAAACAGCAAAATAACATGAAAATTGCAGACAATCTAAAATAATCTACTTTTAGCCAGAAATTTTACATTTTTAAATATAATCTTATTGTCAAGTTTTTATTAACTATTCTAGAACATTAATAACAAACGATTATCCCCATACTGCATTGCAATATACAGTAAATGGTGACACAATTCCTTTGATTGGTAAATCTGTGTGCCCTTCCAACTAAACAATTATCAGTAATAATTTTGATCAATAAAAAGATTGTTTACCTCCTATGGCTTCTCTAGCGACTGGCCAGCATAAATTTAATCAGCCTGCAGGCAGTTATTAGTGGTCAAACACTGAAAATTATCGCTAAATATGAGGTGATGAAATCTACAGGATTAGGCAAATGTTCAGGTAAACGACATGGCCTAACATACGGTAGCTTTATTCTAATCTGTGACTGATTGAATTTACGATGCCTTAATCCTTTAAAAAAAGATAGAAAAACTGTTAAAAATTATTGACATTTTGTCTTGTTTATGTTGTCATTAAATTTGCATGTTGTAAATATCGGTAATATAGGTTGTATGCCACTATGTAAATTTTAGAAACAATACGGTTGCAGATCAATACCCCACCTCCAAATGAAAAGTATCCCGGAAATGAGCCTAAAAATTATGGCATGCATGATGGATGTAGACTTACTTGTTTATGTCATAAACTACATGTATTATGTTGAAATGGTGTTATTAAATGTTGTTCTAAACATTACCATGAACATATTCATAGGACAAAAAAAATCAAATACCTTTAAATTTAATCTTCTAAAAAGTCCTTAAAAAATTAAAAAAAGGTACATGATAAGTCCTGGAAAAGTCCTTAAATTTTCAAAATGTCTAAGAGTGGGAACCCTATAAATGATAACACTAAGAATATTTACCTTGCATGTGCTAAATTTTTGAAGACAAAGTAAAATCATTTGCAAAGTTTTATGCACATTTCATAAATTAATGGCAAAATTGAGTCTAAAGTCTGTTTTAGCCTACAGCAATCAAGTAGTTTATGCGACCGACATTTGTGACAGCAAATCAAAGACATATAATCAACTTTTATTTCAAGTTTGTTAAATATTGTAAACTTGAACTATTTGTGGATTTCATCTGTCACTAGCCTGATTATCCTTTTATCTTCATAACAGAATAAGCGGCCGAAAAAGCGCCGACACATGTTTGTAAATTATTAGAATAGAGACATTGTAAGAAGTATTTGTTGGGATAAAATTTCCACGGTTTAACTTCTTAAATTCGTGGATTGACCTACCCACAAAAACCAAAAAAATTCATGCTCCACGAATAATAATTTTGCAGTAGTACATTGATGGTTGTATCTGGTCATGTCTTTGTCATTCATGCATGGATGCTTTTTGCAGGTTTGATCCTCCTTAGGTCATGGTCACATGTAGTCATTTTGTATGAATTTCAAAATTTTGTGTGTGTTCTGTATCTTTTGAACTGATAGAATAAAAAAAATGTGGCAGAAATATAACTTATGAGACAATGTGCAGAACACAGATTTAAGCGTCCTGAGATCAAACATAGCCCCACCCAGGGGATAAATCAATTTATATAGACTTGTATAGAAAAACACATTTAACTTCATTGTGCTCATTAGTTCATTGCAACTTAGTCAAAGTTTTTGTAAAGTGTGAAAATAGGTCATCCATGTTTGGCTAGAACTATTTTTGTGAAGTGGCTGTGGGTAGGATTATTCTGTGTTAATTAACTTTTCTTTTAAATTTGTTTTGTAGAATGGAAGCTTGTGAATCAGCTGTCAACATTCTTGCCCAGGGCAAAAGAAATATGGTATGTGGGGAGATACCAACTGCAGTGAACCAGTTTCAAGAGGCATGTGCCATACTGTAAGTTTTAATATTCAGTTCCATATTTGTGAGTTATTATGCTCCCCGAAAAATTTCAGGGGAGCATGTAGTCGGCGCCTTGGCCGTCTTTTCCGTCCGTCCGTCTGTCCGTCCGTTTTCTTGTCCAGAGCATAACTTGAAAACCCTTGGAGATAATTTGTTTAAACTTCATACAGTGGTAGAGGGCATTGAGGGGGAGTGCAGTGTCAAAGAACCATAACTCTATTTTGCCCAGTTTTTGAATTATCTCCCCTTATAGAAAAATCTTGTCCGGGGCATAACTCTAAAACTATAAGAGATATAAACATGAAATCTTTGTAGGTGAATAGATCTCAATGGGTAGATGTGCAGTGCATAAGAACAAATAACTCTTTTTGTCCTAATTTTGGAGTTATTGCCCTTTGTTAATTTCAAACACTTTGAACTTTGTTCCGGAACATAACTCGTAAAAACTATAAGAAGATATCAAGATGAAACAATGTAGGTAGATAGATCTCATTGAGTAGAAGTGCAGTGCAAAAGAACCCATAACTCTGTTTTAAGCCTCAGTTTTGAATTATCTCCCCTTATAGAAAAATCTTGTCCGGGGCTAAACTCTAAAACTATAAGAGATATCAACATGAAAACTTTATAGGTGAATAGATCTCAGTGGGTAGATGTGCAGTGCATAAAGAAACAATAACTCTTTTTGTCCTAATTTTGGAGTTATTGCCCCTTTGTTTTAATTTCAATATCTTTGAACTTTGTCCGGAAGATAACTCTAAAACTAGAAGAAGTAGAGATTCAAGATATGAAACATTGTAGTAGATAGATCTCATTGAGTAGAAGTGCAGTGCAAAAGAACCATAACTCTGTGTTAAGCTCATTTTTGAATTATCTCCCCTTATAGAAAAATCTTGTCCGGGGCATAACTCTAAAAACTATAAGAGATATCAAACATGAAACTTTGTAGGTGAATAGATCTCAATGGGTAGATGTGCAGTGCATAAGAACAAAAAACTCTTTTTGTCCTAATTTTGGAGTTCTTGCCCTTTGTTAATTTTAACACTGAACTTTGTCCCCGGAACATAACTCTAAAATTATAAGAGATATCAAGATGAATCATTGTAGGTAGATAGATCTCATTGAGTAGAAGTGCAGTGCAAAAAACCATAGCTCTGTTAAGCCTCATTTTTCAATTATCTCCCCTTTTTAGAAAAATCTTGTACTGGACATAGCTATAAAACTATAAGAGATATCAACATGAAACTTTGTAGGTAGATGTATCTCAATGGGTAGATGTGCAGTGCAACGAGAATCATAAACTCTGCTTTGCCTAATTCTGGAGTTATTTGCCATTTGTTTATTTTTACTTTTTGAAGTTGTCCGGAACATAACTCGGAAAAACCATAAGAGATATCAACAAGAAAACTTAGTAAGTTGATAGATAACAGTGATTAGAAGTGCAGCTCAAAGAACAGTAACTCTGCTTTCCCTAATTTTGGAATTATTGCACTTTGAACTTTTTCCAGGGACATAACTCTGAAACTACAAAGAGGTGTACTTTCCTGTGTCCAAAACCTATTCGGGGAGCATCTCATGGCTAAAAACCGGGGCCCTCTTTTTTTTTAAAAAGCTCTTGAGATTTTATCCCTTTTTTTAAAAAAATTTGGGTTTTGGGGGGGAAAGTAGGTGGTTGAAAAGTGAAAGGGTTTCCTAAATACGCTGATGCGGTTTTCGGGGTTGGGGCAGGGTTTTTTTGGGCCCTATGGAAAAGTAATTTCAACGGGGAAATTCTGTAATCCCCCAATTGGCCCGAGGAGAAAAAATTTAAGAGGGGAAAAACAAAAAATAAATATGTAAGCAAAAAAATTTAAAACACCTTTAAATAAAAAAGCTGCCCAATCAAAAAAATCAAAAAAGCCTGTAAAAAATAAGGTTAGCCCCTTTTTTAAACGTAAAAAAATTTAAGGGGTAAATGGGGGCTTTGCAGTGCCCTAAAAATTAAAGTTGGGGTATGCTGCGGGGTTTGGAGATAATTTCCCAAAACTGTACGAGTGATAAACATTTGAAACCAAATTATTACAGTTGATTGGTTACCACTGATTATCAATGGCAATCAATTAAAGAGATTGTTATCTTGTAAAAGGTCCTCAAATTGGTTTTGTAAAAATTGTAAAAATGCTCCAGCTACATGTTAATGCTGACAAAAATGTTTCTTTTATGTTATTTTAAAAGAACCTTGTTAGATATTAGATCAACATTAAAATGGACATGTCAAATAAATACCAGTAAATTTCGCCATAAATTACAAATTTGAAATTTGTTTTATGATGCCTGATGAAATAGCCGATTTAAAACAATATAATATGTTAAAAATCTGCAACAACTAGAATTGTGAATGTTTCAGCAGAAAAAATAAAAAATTTTACTTGTCACATAATTATTTTTTGCGAGGCCTCTTTTATACTGTTAAAAATATGCATCGGGGCACTAATGAAGAAGCTTCTGCTAAACAAGAACATGGAAAACAATGTCGAGATGATGTTTCGATTTTGACTACTTGTGTTGCAAAATGGCGCTTTTCAAGAACTCGTACCAAGTGCTCATGACTCTTTGTTATCTATAGCTGGTTTCTTTGTATTGATTGAATTTTGCCATAACTAATGCTTACATGTGATGTAATGTAATGTCACATTCAACCTAAGGACCGCGATCAGACTTTATTGAGTGTTCACTATTCTTTTTTGTCCTTTCCCAAGACTCCCTATCATCCGAAAATTGTTTATACCACCTAAAAAAGGAGAAATATGGTTACATTTGAAGATCGATTAGCATCCATCTTCATTTTCGTCTCTGTTGGTTTTTTCCCTAGGTCCACACAAAACTTTATTATTGCACGGTTCACCCTTTATTATTGCACGGTTTACCTGTGCCAGTGCCACCATTTATATCATAAGATTTCCATATTTGTCGTTAGCTTACTAGCTGTATATTCTAAAGTACCAAACAGATGATGTTAAAAGTTGCAACAATGTTACATATAAGCAGCTGCCATTTGGTATAGTTTTTCATCAATTTATGGAGTTGACAGATATTATCTGATAAAACTTTTTTTTTTAAACACAAGTAAGACATCAATGTAAATCACATTATTCTTTTAACATTTAATTGTTTAATATGTGTACAAAATCTCATTGATTTGTCTAGTAGTTTTCAAGTAAAAATAACAAAAAAAAATTATCTACCCTACAGGTACATGACTTTTTGTATTCTATTCCAAAATTCAAACAACGATTTTGTAAACCACAGGCAGCAGATATATTATTTTATTCACTTCAAACCACTAATAGATATATCTCAATGGTCATTTTCGTAACTACCAGTATCTTGCCATATAGTTCAGCTATTGCATTCTATACTGAATATTTTAGCTCAAAAGCCTACGGTGAAACTGCTAAAGAATGTCCCAGAGGGCCTACTTTGTTAGGGGACACCCTTTGTTTAAAATTTGGTCGAAGGGAAGAAGGGGAGTGCGGGAAACCCCCCTTTCAAGGAGGTAATTTTTAAATTTTTTAGTCCATTTTTTTTATTTTGCACATTTTTCATCCATCTATAAAAGTTAAAAAATATTTTTTGGGGTCATAAAATGTTTTAGAAAAAATTAATTGAAAATTGTTTCCTGTGCGTTCAAAACTTAAAAAGATAAAAACAAATTTTGGCACAGGGGAAATTGCATTTATGTAATACAATAAAATTTGTTAAAAGGAACTCATAAGAATTTTTAAAAAAACTTTTATACTACATTTTTAAAGTTTTTCCCCAAAATATATTGGGCAATGAAACTGTTAAAAAAAAGTTTAAAAAATCCAAAAACCCAATTTTAAAAGAAAAAAAAAAAACTATGTTATTATTAGTAAAACATGGACTTTTTTAGCTCACACTGAGAACAATGTCCTCAAGGTGAAGCTTTTGTGAATGGCCCATTGTCCGTTCGTCCATCGTGCGTGGCGTCAGTGCGTCAACAAATTTTTCAAACCAACTTTCTCCTAAACCACTATAGGCCAAATTTGTTGAAACACTGTTTGCAGGGGATGTTCCCCTTCATGAAGCTCCCCCCCTTTTTACCAAAAAGTTCATTAAGGAATTAAATTTAATAAAGAACTCTGTTTGGCCAAAATGGCAACTGAAAGATTTTTTTAGCAAGATATCTTAAAAAAATCTTCTTGTAAAAAATCTTAAAAACAGCTAGAGCTTAGATATTTGGGGCATAAAAACATCATCTAGTTGATGCCTACCAGTTTTGTTCAAATACTGTAAATCCGGTATTTTTTGTGATGTTTTTATTTTCGCTATTATTCCGCCGAATCGGCCCCCCGCGTCGCGAATTCATGAATGCCGCGTAAATTTTATTAACATGACATACATTATAAAAAATAAATCTGATGACAATTATTTTTTAAAATTGTGATTAAAGTTTTAATAATGAATACAAATAACTGAAATGCAAATAATTAAATTTACAATGTTTATATACATCTTTAATAAAATATATGAAAGGTAAAATTTTTTTTCCCATTCCTTTTTTGGTCATGAAATACATGCCATTTTGAACACAAAAAAGAGAACAATATCTCACAAAATTTTGCACTTTAAAGACCAAATGTCGAAAACAATATTGTGTTAGATGACAATTTAGATTTACGGTAAAACAGTTGATCGACGGACAATTTTTCATATGGTATGATTAAGTATCACTAAACAAGCATATAAACACCTTCTTAAAAACATTTAACGTTTTATCAAACACGTTATTTGCAAACAAAAACAAATGTGAAAAATGATTAGAAAAACAGTTCATAATAAGTCAATTACATGTATGTAGGTACATTTTGTATATAAAATGAATAAATAAAAACCGTTTCTTATTAACACCATTAACATTTACCTTGCATAAGAGCGACACAGTATAGGAATTAACTTCAACCTACCCTGTAATATTGCGGAAATAAAATTCAAATAATTGCGAATATAAATTTCTGACCCTGCCATCGCGAATTCATGAATACGCGAAATAATCCAGGGTAAGGGTTTTCGCAAAATAAAGATCACACGAATATAAAGTGATTCACAGTAAATGCCCTAGGGTCAAAATTGTCCCCGTCCCAGGGGTCATTGATTTTCCTTATTTGTATATATTAAAAACTTGTAATAGAGCTTAGATATTTGGCATGAAACAATCTTCCAGTGGATGTCCACCAAGTTTGTTCAAATAAAACCCCTAGGGTCAAAATTGAGTCATAGATTTTCCTTATTTGTATATAGTAAAAACTTAAGAAATTTTGTTTTAAAAAACCCAAATAGCTAATGCTTAGATATTAAGCATGAAACATTTTCTAGTGGGTGTCTACCAAGTTTGTTTAAATAAAAGCCCTGGGGTAAAAATTGGCCCCGCCCCAGGGGGTCATTGTTTTTTCCTTTATGTATATAGTAAAAAATTTAAAAAATCTTCTTTTAAAAACCCCAAAGAGCTAGAGGTAAGATATTTAGCATGAAACATCTTCTAATGGGTGTCTATCAAGTTTGTTCAACTAAGGGCCCTTGGGTTAAAATTGGCCCCGCCCCAGGGGGTTATTGATTTTTTAGCTCACCTTGCACAAAGTGCAGGTGAGCTTTTAGGATGGCCAACCAAATGGCGTCCGTCGTCTGTCGTCCGTCCACATTTTAAATATTCTAAGGACATCTTCTATGATACCGCAAGGCCAATGTTAATGAAACTTGGCAGGAATACTCTTTGTATGAAGCTCTATCAAGATTGTTCAAAGAATTCCATTTCATGCAGAACTCTGGTTGCCATGGCAACCGAAAGAAAAATCTTTAAATATCTTCTTTTAAAGAACTGTAAGAGCTAGAGCTTAGATATTTGGCATGAAACATCTTCTATTGAATGTCTACCAAGTTTGTTCAAATAAAAGCCCTAGGGTCAAAATTGGCCCCGCCCCAGGGGGTCATTGATTTTCCCTATATGCATATAGTAAAAACTTAAAAAATCTTCTTTTAAAGAACCCAAAGAGCTAGAGCTAAGATATTTGGCATGAAAGATCTTCTAGTGGGTGTCTACCAAGTTTGTTCAAATAAAAGCCCTGGGGTCAAAATTGGCCCCGCCCCAGGGGGTCATTGATTTTCCCTATATGCATATAGTAAAAACTTTAAAAATCTTCTTTTAAAGGACTGTAAAAGCTAGAGCTTAGATATTTGGCATGAAAACATCTTCTAGTGAATGTCTACCAAGTTTGTTCAAATAAAAGCCCTGGGGTCAAAAATTGGTCCCGCCCCAGGGGGTCATTGATTTTCCCTATATGCATATAGTAAAAACTTAAAAAATCTTCTTTTAAAGAACCCAAAGAGCTAGAGCTAAGATATTTAGCATGAAACATCTTCTAATGAGTGTCTACCAAGTTTTGTTCAAATAAAAGCCCTGAGGTCAAAATTGGCCCTGCCCCAGGGGGTCATAGATTTTCCCTATATGCATATAGTAAAAACTTAAAAAAATCTTCTTTTAAAAGAACCCAAAGAGCTAGAGCTAAGATATTTGACATGAAATATCTTCTAGTGAGTGTCTACCAAGTTTGTTCAAATAAAAGCCCTGGGGTCAAAATTGGCCCGCCCCGGGGGGTCATTGATTTTCCCTATATGCATATTGTAAAAACTTAAAAAAATCTTCTTTTAAAGAACCGTAAAAGCTAGAGCTTAGATATTTGGCATGAAACAAATCTTCTAGTGAATGTCTACCAAGTTTGTTCAAATAAAAGCCCTGGGGTCAAAATTGGCCCCGTCCCAAGGGGTCATAGATTTTCCCTATATGCATATAGTAAAAACTTAAAAAATCTTCTTTTAAAGAACCCAAAGAGCTAGAGCTAAGATATTTAGCATGAAACATCTTCTAATGAGTGTCTACCAAGTTTGTTCAAATAAAAGCCCTGGGGTCAAAATTGGCCCCGCCCCAGGGGGTCATTGATTTTCCCTATATGCATATAGTAAAAACTTAAAAAATCTTCTTTTAAAGAACTCAAAGAGCTAGAGCTAAGATATTTAGCATGAAACATGTTCTAATGGGTGTCTACCAAGTCTGTTCAAATAAAAGCCCTGGGGTCAAAACTGGCCCTGCCCCGGGGGTCATTGATTTTCCTTATATGTGTATAGCAAAAACTTAAAAATCTTCTTTGAAAAAACCCAAATAGCTTGAGTTTAGATATTATACATGAAACATCTTTAGTAAATATCTACAAAGTTTGTTCAAATAAAAGCCCTGGGGGTCAAAACTGGCCTTGCCCCAGGGGTGTCATTGTTTTTAACTATATGTGTATAGTAAAAACTTAAAAATCTTCTTTTAAAAAACCCAATGAGCTAGAACTTAGATGTTTAGCATGAAACATCTTCTTATGGGTGTCTACCAAGTCTGTTCAAATAAAAGCCCTTGGGTAAAAATTGACCCGGGGGGGGGGGGGGGGGCTATATACAGGTGAGCGACCTCAGGGCCATCATGGCCCTCTTGTTTTTATATGTGTATAGTAAAACTTAAAAAATCTTCTTATAAAAACCCCAAAGAGCTAGAGCTTAGATATTTATCATGAAACATCTTCTAATGGGTGTCTACCAAGATTGTTAAAATTAAAGCCCCTGGTTTAAAATTGGCCTTGGCCCAGGGGTCTATATACAGGTGAGCGATTTCAGGGCCATCATGGCCCTCTTGTTATAATAAGGAAGCTTCGTAGCAGGTAGTTGTGCTAGCATATTATGAATATGAATTGTTCTAACGACCAGAACCCACTTTAAAATAGTTCAGATACATTCACGAAAATTGTTTTCAGATATATATTAGAAGTCATATAGAGCTGATGCACCTTGTATTGTGCATAATCACCATACTGCAGAAGCATGAGGATACATAAAGTAAAGCCACAGGGCTTCTGAAGATGTTAATGCTTGAAAAAGGGTGCATGAGCACTTTTCTTGCATAAAAGAATGTCTGATTTGTTAATTCAACATTTCCTTACTTCATAAAAACACATTTCAGCATGCTTTTTACAGGCCAGTGTGAGTTATCTTTTGATAATGAAACCTCCAGGACCGTCATTGCATTAAGATATTTTTACATGAAGCTCTGGGTCACATTTATTAAAAACGAACAAGAACAGTGCATGCTTTGGTGATTTTCTTCCCTGCATTTGCATTTATTTTTGCAAGAATATGACATTGGTTTTGTTTATACAGAAGATTGCTTTGTAATGTGTCAGTAGATGTAATACAGGCAGTGAATTTTCCATAGCTACTAACCCTGACATAAATTGTTGCAGCAGCTTAAAATGATAATGGGATGAAAATCTATATTAAGCTATTCTAGGAACAACATCTTACCTCTGCTGCACTTAATAAAATATGAAGATATGCCCTTAACTGACATTGAATTTCAGGATTTTTTTGAACTCCACTGTAACTGTTATATATTGTTAAATAATAGTGTTATATATTGTTGGATTATAAATGTTATTCATAATTGATAGATTGTGGTTATCACCAACTTGATAAAGTAGTGCTGTTATATATTGATAGATTTATGAATTTTATTCATTAATTGCAAGTTAAATTTATAACATATTGTGTAATTTGGCAGTGCCTGAAACGGATGATGAATCTACTGAACAGAAAGATGAACAGTTTGAAAAAGTGGAAATAGATGGTACTTAATGTTTATTTTCGCACTACACATTTGAGCCGTGTCACGACAAAACCAACATAATGCGCTTGCGACCAACATGGATCAAGACCAGCCTGCGCATCTGCGCAGTCTGATTAGGATCCATGCTGTTTGCTTACCAACTCTATTACAAGTAGAGAAACTGTTAGGGAACAGCATGGATCCTGATCAGACTGCGCGGATGCACAGGCTAGTCTGGATCCATGCTGGTCGCAAACACATTATGTTGGTTTTGTCAAGGCGCGGCTCATTTATCAACTTCTAAGGCTCTCATGAGAATCAAACTTGAATCTTCCAGTGTAAAATATGCTGCTAAAGAAATTCAATGATATCAATCTCTAAAACCCTGAAACTTTTGAGGGATTTTTTCATTTTTTTTTTACATATTTGCACTTTTTTAGTAAAATAATTCAAGAAGGTTTTTTAATGGTCAAGGCTTAGTTGTTTCATACTTACATAGTCAATTTTTTCCACCTATTTTAATTACGGTCTAAGTTTAAATTAAAAATGTAAAGAATGCTATTGTATTTTAACTAATGGAGCTAGTCTGAAGTTAAATTTACCAAAACTTTTTCTGCCAATAAGCCCCTGAACGAGAGAAGTTAAGAAAGGAAGTTTATGATGCTATGGGAGAAAAAGAAGCAGAAAAGAAAGAAAGGGAATTAATAGAAGCTGAGAAAAAAAAGGAGACTGATGAAACCAAGAAAACTGAGTCTGAAACGATGGAAGTTGCCATGGATACTGAAGCTGAAGATAAAACTCAGAAAGAAGACAAACCTGAAAAAGATGCCAAAGCAGAACCTGAGAAAAAAGATGATAAAGATGTAAAGGAGGAGACAGACAAAACTGATAAGAAAACTGATTTGAAAGATGACATTTCAGATAAATCTGAAGAAAAGACCAAAGATAAACCAAAGACCGAAGATGAAAAACCTAAAGATGTTGAAATGAAAGATGGAAAGAAAGGTTAAAGAGTTGTTACAAAAATCACCAAACATTGTTATATGTTTCCATTCTTTATCTTTAAAGTTCTGGCAAATTAATCGAAAGATACTGTCAAAAATTTAATTTGTGACTTTAGTTTGTTGATAAATGACACTTTTATTGTAATTAGTTATATTTGAATTTGTGCTCAATGGAATCAAATTTGTTAATTATTAGATAATGAATGGAATTCTAATCCTGTTTATATTTTAGCTCATAACATGCTTGCACTGCATATGTGATACACTTTCAGCTAATTTCAGATTTATTTTAGGTTTTACTGTTTATACTAACAATAACAATGTTTTAAGTTCAGTTTTGCAGCAGTATAATTTTGAAATGGTTATATTGTTGTGTTTAGATCACAATATCACGGGGAAGAAAGTGTTACACGAAGGATGGAGTTCTTATGATAACTTGTTCAGGAGTTCTTGTGATAACTGTCACGAAGTTCGTCGGAAAACATCTGTATATACTACAAAAAACTCGTTAAAAAGGGTTATTTTCATGTTTCAAAAATGAGTTTTAAGGTGCTAAATTAAACTTTAATAATTAAGCTTGTCTTACATCTTGTATTATGTGTCAAAAACTAATTCACAGGCCATTTTTAATCGCCTCTTGTTATAAATCTGGTAGTTTTCAATAAAATTTCCAAATTATTTGCCAATTCACAAGTATTGACCTGTTTATTACTGGTCTTCATCCTTGCTATACATAATTACCTAATTATAACGCAAAATTGCAAACATAATTACACCGGCTAACAGATTTATACCCGATTTTTCAAATGTCCCGGAGTTCTTGTGATAACTCTGAAGATGTCACAGAGTTCTTATGATAACTTTTGTTATTGCCAGTGTGTTTCTTGCGCTAAATCACGGCACGTTTTAGTGTTTTTTCTTATTCAATGAGATTGAAAATCATTATGAAATGTAAGTACGCTCATCCTTTGCGCAAAAAAATAGGATATATAAAGTTGGTTTTGAGTGAATTTTAGTTCGAGAGATTATTTCCTACCCCGTTTCTTTTTCATAGTATTTTTTTTTTTTTTTGATGCAGATTTCGTAGACTGGAAAAAGGATTTATGTACTTGTTTCCTAGCAGTTTCCGGCTCCTAGCAGTTTTCTGGTCCTTTATCATTTTCATGCAGGCATACAGTCTGCTTTTTCTCAGTTAAACATCTTTGTTACTGCATCAATCAGAGAAAAATTTGTTTTCTATGTAATACAGCAGTTATAATAGTACAGCGATTAATATGTTTCAAAGTTTTGTCTGTTGTTTTAAGTTACATTAGAGAACTTGCGACACTTACAAGCAACACCTGGGGAATTCTAGTTTGAATGCCCATGCACAATAACTGAAATCCCATTCAAGGTAAATCACTACTTTTAAACAATATATTTGCAGACAACACGGAAAAGTCTGGGAAGTTATATCTATTTGAAAAACCCAGCTTAACATTGCTTATTGGTACTAAATTATATTCAAAATAAAAAAGGGCCGAAAAACTGCTATGAAATTTTGAATAAATGTGAGCAAAGGTGTTACATCTCAGGTCTTTATTCAATTAAAATGTAAAATAAACATGGTTATGCTTGACAGGTACCTAACTTTGTCCTGTCAAAGTTTGCACTCTTCGGTAGACAGATTTTTATTTTATTTGTTAAAAAGTGCGATTTGGGGCCGGGAACTGCTATGAAACCATTAGGGTATTTATGTACGTGATAAAGGGCGCTTTGAAATACTAAAATATGGTATTTTCATGTATATTTTTCTGTCGATGTTTGATGAGTATTTTTGCTTTGTAATCATAGTGGAGGACACTCTGCTACTTTTGCTGTAATATATATAGTCAAACTTAGTTCGCTCGAACCTGGAGGGACAGTTCAAATTTGTTCGAGAGATCGGTAGTTAGAGCCAACCGCAGTTGAGTTTTTTAGCTCACCTGTCACACACACACAGACAGGGTGAGCTTTTTTGATCGCTTTTCGTCTGGCGTCCGTCCGTCCGTCATCCGTCCGTAAACTTTTGCTTTAAATGACATCTCCTCATAAACCACTGAGCCAATTTCATCCAAACTTTACAGGAATGTTCCTTTTGTGGTCACCTTTAAAAATTGTTCAAAGAATTTAATTCCATGCAGAACTCTGGTTGCCATGGCAACCGAAAGAAAAATCTTTAAATATCTTCTTTTAAACAACCCTAAGAGCTAGAGCTTAGATATTTGGCATGAAACATCTTCTAGTGAGTGTCTACCAAGTTTGTTCAAATAAAAGCCCTGGGGTCAAAATTGGCCCCGCCCCAGGGGGTCATTGATTTTCCCTATATGCATATAGTAAAAACTTAAAAAATCTTCTTTTAAAGAACCCAAAGAGCTAGAGCTAAGATATTTGGCATGAAACATCTTCTAGTGAGTGTCTACCAAGTTTGTTCAAATAAAAGCACTGGGGTCAAAATTGGCCCTGCCCCGGGGTCATTGATTTTCCCTATATGCATATAGTAAAAACTTAAAAAATCTTCTTTTAAAGAACCGTAAGAGCTAGAGCTTAGATATTTGGCATGAAACATCTTCTAGTGAATGTCTACCAAGTTTGTTCAAATAAAAGCCCTGGGGTCAAAATTGGCCCCGCCCCAGGGGGTCATTGATTTTCCCTATATGCATATAGTAAAAACTTAAAAAATCTTCTTTTAAAGAACCCAAAGAGCTAGAGCTAAGATATTAAGCATGAAACATCTTCTAGTGAGTGTCTACCAAGTTTGTTCAAATTAAAGCCCTGGGGTCAAAATTGGCCCCGCCCCGGGGGGTCATTGATTTTCCCTATATGCATATAGTAAAAACATAAAAAATCTTCTTTTAAAGAACCATAAGAGCTAGAGCTTAGATATTTGGCATGAAACGTCTTCTAGTGAATGTCTACCAAGTTTGTTCAAATAAAAGCCCTGGGGTCAAAATTGACCCCGCCCCAGGGGGTCATAGATTTTCCCTATATGCATATAGTAAAAACTTAAAAAATCTTCTTTTAAAGAACCCAAAGAGCTAGAGCTAAGATATTTAGCATGAAATATCTTCTAATGAGTGTCTACCAAGTCTGTTCAAATAAAAGCCCTGGGGTCAAAATTGGCCCGCCCCAAAAACTTAAAAAAATCTTCTTTTAAAGAACTCAAAGAGCTAGAGCTAAGATATTTAGCATGAAACATGTTCAAATGGGTGTCTACCAAGTATGTTCAAATAAAAGCCCTGGGGTCAAAACTGGCCCCGCCCGGGGGGATCATTGATTTTCCTTATATGTGTATAGCAAAAACTTAAAAATCTTCTTTGAAAAAACCCAAATAGCTAGAGTTGAGATATTAAGCATGAAACATCTTTAAGTAAATATCTACAAAGATTGTTCAAATAAAAGCCCGGGGGTCAAAACTGGCCCTGCCCCAGGGGTGTCATTGTTTTTAACTATGTGTATAGTAAAAACTTTAAAAATCTTCTTTTAAAAAACCCAATGAGCTAGAACTTAGATGTTTAGCATTAAACATCTTCTTATGGGTGTCTACCAAGTCTGTTCAAATAAACAAAAGCCCTTGGGTAAAAATTTGCCTATATACAGGTGAGCGACCTCAGGGCCATCATGGCCCTCTTGTATCATGTATCATACTTTTTTAAGACATAGTTGTGGAAATTATCCTGGTTATATACTTATTTATTATGGTATAAAATGATATAAATTACTTAGCCCTTAGGTAATGGAAGCATGCCTATATATTGTCTGCTTAAGAAAGGTGTTTGCTTAAAACATGTGAAACTGAGAGCAACGTGTACGTTTTGAGACATTTTTGTTTTTGGTTTAAGCTATTATACTGCTGAATGTCAGTGACTGCTGGTTCAATTTTTACTGTAGATGATAGCCTATCACCTATTTATCCTTTGCAGACACTTAATACCAACATTTTATCCACATTTTTGTGCAAAGGATGATTGTACTGCATTTCATAATTATTTACAATCTTGTTGAATGATAATAAACGCCAAAACGTGCCTTGATAAAGCCCATGAAACACACTGGCAGTAACAAAAGTTATCATAAGAACATCTTCAGAGTTATCACAAGAACTCCGGGACATTTGAAAAATCGGGTATAAATCTGTTAGCCGGTGTAATTATGTTTGCAATTTTGCATTATAATTAGGTAATTATGTATTTCAAGGATGAAGACCAGAAATAAACCGGTCAAAACTTGTGAATTGGCAAATAATTTGGAAATTTTACTCAAAACTATCAAATTTATAACAAGAGGCGATGAAAAATGGCCTATGAATTAGGCTTTGACACATAATACAAGATGTAAGACGAGCTTAATCATTAAAGTTTAATTTAGCACCTAAAACACATTTTTGAACGATGAAAATAAACATTTTTAACGAGTGTTTTTGTAGTATATACAGATGTTTTCCGACGAACTCCGTGACAGTTATCACAAGAACTCCTGAACAAGTTATCATAAGAACTCCATCTTTCGTGTAACACTTCCTCCCCGGTGATATCTTATGCATGAATTTGTTTTATTGGATAACCATAAAAACACAGATTTACAAGTTTATAACTATATTAATATATTGTACTTTATTTTTGTGCCCCCACTATAGTGGGGGGGGGGGATTTAGATTTACCCTTGTTCGACCGTCCGTCCTCTTTTTGTGTGGCATGTAGCTCAAAAAGTAATTATTGACCTGTCACCTAGAGTCATGAAACCTTACAGGAAATGTTGATCAGCATGTGAAGTTGTGCACCTGGGTATTTTCATGTGGATATATGTAGTATTTTTAGAGTTTTTGCCCTTGACTTAGTAAAAATTTGCAATTTTCAACTTGTGTCGCACGTAACTCAAAAAGTATTTGACCTGTAGGCCTGAAGGTTTACAAGAATGTTGGTCAGCATGTGTACTTATGCACATTGGGATTTATTCAGTATTTGTAGTATTTGCCCTTTACTTAATAAAAGATTTTTAGTTTTCAACTTTGGCACATGTAGCCAAAAAAAAAAAATTGACCTAAGAACATAAGATTGACAAATCGGTGGAGTGTGGGGACACCCGTGTCCTATGGACACATTTCAAGTTAGATTTCCAGTGCCCACTATTACTTTTCTGAATAATTTATAAATAAATCATGCTTGCTGAGATTTCATAATCTTTCTCATTATGTAATATAAAATAATTTACCATTACATAAGTTTAAACAAAAGATGTTTTTAGTTTATTTAAGAAACCATCTGATTTTAAAATAAAAATAAAACAATTTTTGCATTATAACTACAATAGAATAAGCAAGTATAATTGCAGTTGTTAATTCATTTTGATCTTTTACTTGTTTCACTACTTTTTAGCTCACCTGTCAGGGTGAGCTTTTGTGATCGCTTTTCGTCCGGCGTCCGGCAGTCCGGCGTCCGTAAACTTTTACTTTAAATGACATCTCCTCATAAACCACAAGGCCAATTTCATCCAAACTTCACAGGAGTGTTCCTTTGGTGGTCACCTTTAAAAATGTTCTAAGAATTTAATTCCATGCAGAACTCTGGTTGCCATGGCAACCGAAAGAAAAAACTTTAAATATCTTCTTTTAAAAAATCCTAAGAGCTAGGGCTTAGATGTTTGGCATGAATTATCTTCTAGTGAGTGTCTACCAAGTTTGTTCAAATAAAAGCCCTGGGGTCAAAATTGGCCCGGCCCCAGGGGGTCATTGATTTTCCCTATATGCATATAGTAAAAACTTAAAAAATCTTCTTTTAAAGATCCCAAAGAGCTAGAGCTTAGATATTTAGCATGAAACATGTCCTAATGAGTGTCTACCAAGTTTGTTCAAATAAAAGCCCTGGGGTCAAAATTGGCCCCGCCCCAGGGGGTCATTGATTTTCCCTATATGCATATAGTAAAATCTTAAAAAATCTTCTTTTAAAGAACTCAAAGAGCTAGAGCTAAGATATTTAGCATCAAACATGTTCTAATAGGTGTTTACCAAGTTTTTTCAAATAAAAGCCCTGGGGTCAAAATTGGCCCCGCCCCGGGGGTCATTGATTTTCCTTATGTGTATAGCAAAAACTTAAAATCTTCTTTGAAAAAACCCAAATAGCTAGAGTTTAGATATTAAGCATGAAACATCTTCTAGTAATTGTCTACAAAGTTTGTTCAAATAAAAGCCCTGGGGTCAAAACTGGCCCCGCCCCAGGGGTGTCAATGTTTTTAACTATATGTATATAGTAAAAACTTAAAAAAAAATCTTCTTTAAAAAGCCCAATGAGCTAGAGCTTAGATGTTTAGCATGAAACATCTTCTTGTGGGTGTCTACCAAGTTTGTTCAAATAAAAGCCCTGGGGTCAAAATTGGCCCCGTCCCAGGGGGTCATTGATTTTCCCTATATGCATATAGTAAAATCTTAAAAAATCTTCTTTTAAAGAACTCAAAGAGCTAGAGCTAAGATATTTAGCATCAAACATGTTCTAATAGGTGTCTACCAAGTTTGTTCAAATAAAAGCCCTGGGGTCAAAATTGGCCCTGCCCCGGGGGTCATTGATTTTCCTTCTATGTGTATAGCAAAAACTTAAAATCTTCTTTGAAAAAACCCAAATAGCTAGAGTTTAGATATTAAGCATGAAACATCTTCTAGTAAGTGTCTACAAAGTTTGTTCAAATAAAAGCCTGGGGGTCAAAACTGGCCCCGCCCCAGGGGTGTCATTGTTTTTAACTATATGGGTAAAGTAAAAACTTAAAAAAATCTTCTTTTAAAAGACCAATGAGCTAGAGCTTAGATGTTTAGCATGAAACATCTTCTTATGGGTGTGTGGGGGGTGGGGCTATAAACATGTGAGCGACCTCAGGGCCATCATGCCCCTCTTGTTTTGTTGAGTTTTTTAAACATGAAGTGTTCTTTACAGGTGTCTTGACTGGGTTGCATTATGGACAGATAGAAGATTAAAAGATATGAACAAATTATTTCAGATATGCTTAATATTTTTATGTTTGTAGAGGAGGAAGAAGGAAGTGCAGAGGAGGGTGATGAAGAAGAGGGTGAAGGTACCGAGGAAGAAGGGGAGGGCACAGAGGGCGAGGGCACAGAGGCTGAAGGTGAGGCTACAGGTGAGGAAGGCGAGGAAACTGCATCACAAGATGGCTCACAGGATGGTGTAAGTTGATTAAATGAAATATTTGTTGACTCAATCTGCTAAGCATGTTTTTCAGATTTATGCCTCTTTCCTATGTTGCTTGAATTTAATATCAAGCAATGAGAAAAGTGATGTTGCTGTCTGCAGACACGTCTTCTTCTTAAATTTCATAATGTTCTTTACACTTAACATTTTAAGATCCTAAACTGGAAGTTTAAATAATTTGTACTTCATTGAAAACTTGCATTCAAATATAGAATGGAGAAAGTTTTAATAAAAGGTTACTGTAAATGAAAACTATTTTCACTATTTAGTTTTTATTACTTAAGTCATTGAAGCGGTACCAATTTTTTGAGAGCTATCTGTAAGGAAAATTTTAATGGAGATAAGAAAAACACCCTTCAAGTTTTTATTATTCACAAATAATGCACTCTTTTTGTTCCAGGAAAATGCAGATGATGTATCAAATTTACAGCTTGCCTGGGAAATGTTAGAGCTTGCTAAACTTATATACACAAAGTAAGATCATTTATATAGTTATTATATTTTATATTATTGGGCATTTCTTGTTGCTTATTATAACTTTAATGAAAATTCAATATTATTAAGATTTTTACAGCATTACAATAATGAGTAGTTTCCACTTTACCCATCATTAGATATTCTACTGTTGCTAAACAAAATTCATATTGAGAAATTAATTCATTTACTTTTCCGCAATATGAAATATATTGAGAATAGACTAATATAGTGGAGAGTAATAATGTTAAAATGCACTGAAACTGATTAGGAATGACAATTTCTTGCTTTAAATTTGGTCTAAATTACAAGTTTGATTTTGAAGTTGACTGAATTACTTTAATATTTTGTCTGCAATCTGTAATATTTGGTTTCAGAGATGATTCTAAAGAGGCAAAACTCCGAGCAGCAGAATCTCATCTTAAACTTGGGGAAGTTAGTTTAGAGACGGGTAATCTTTCATTTGTTAGAATTTGATAAAGAATTATAAAACATTTACTCAAATTTGATTGATAAAAAGGGTGAAACATAACATAGCTGAAAATACTCAGTGTTATTGTGTATTATTGCACTAAATTAGAAATCACATTGGTTAAACCATTAATATTTTTGTACAACTGGATGATTTCTCTACCTCTTTGTTATTGATTTATAATTATTTTATTTTAAGAAAATGTTTTTTATTAATTTAATAGTATGTTGAAACGTACCCGGGGTCTGCTAGCCCGGACACACTTCAATATCGACACGTGGGTTCTTCTCAAACACACGTAAATGGATAAGGGAAAATAGGGACACAAGGACTAAAAGATACGGACACCTGAAATAAGATTAACACAACTATTTATTAAATATACATTTCACAAACAATAAAATTGGTATATAGTATCTTCTGTGGATGGCTCTGGCTTGGGCTCCTCGTCTTAGGTCAGGAATATTCTGCTGTTACGTCTAGAATAATGTATAATATAAGATGTAATGAAAGGCTTGACAAATACGGTGTCACGTCTTGCCTGTGGTCTGTTACAAATTCTATGGTAGGAATTACCATGAAATGCTATAGGGTTGATGGGGTATCTAAAATGGTAACTTCAAAATACAGTGGTGTTCTACCCTGGTATATGGGTATCACTATAAAATATGGGATTATGGCTATGGAAACTTGGTCTTCAGTCAGGATCTATCATAAATGGTAAATAATGCCAAACTGCCAAACTAGATGATTTAATATAAAGCTTCTATATGAACTATTACTGGCACAAAGTATTCTATACCTTTCTGGTGGCTGGAGATACATCCATATTCAATATAGTATAGGTGTGGTCTGGTGGCTATCTACCAAGGTACTGACAATTTTGGCAGATTCGGGCTGCTATTTATAGTCTGGGACGCTGGGTGGCTAGCTTGGCTAGGGTGCCTAGCTTGGCAGTATCGTCATCGTCTTCGATGACGTCACTGCCAATCTCGCGCGGGCAGAAATTTAGCCAGTGCCAGCTGCCATGTTTAAATTGGCAGCGTGTGGCTAATTGAACATTAAAACGGCTACAACGTAGAAAATAAGTTATTTTAAGTAATATAACCATCGTAAATATTAAAAGGATGAAGTTATCTGTACATGTAGTGTATGTTTTGATGATTAAAAGTTGATGTCATGAAGTACAGTTAATTACTTTAGTACTTGAGTAGTTTCCGGATACGGGTTTATTTTCGGACGTAAAATGATGGGCCTGATCGTTACATTATTTACATTTATTTTATTACAGAGCAATATGAAGAAGCAACAAAAGATCTGAACAAATGTTTAGAATTACAGAAAGAATTGTTAGAGCCTGATAACAGATTACTAGCAGAAACGTATCCTTTCCATAAATATATAATTGGGCTGGAAATCATATTTGAAACACTTCCTAACATCACACAAAGTTTGTGTATATTGGTATCTCCTAAACTACTGAAGGACATGGTTGAACCTTAATACACTAAAGAGCATAATTGGAGGTCACTATGCAAGGCCCATAACTCTAACCTGAATTTTGACAGAATTGTGTATGATGTTGAAAATCAGTCAATAAATTATTATTGATAAGAACTAAAGTAATGATGATAAACACAAAACTGCACTTTTAATTTGAATACATGCAATAAATTGGTGTCTTCTCTAATTGGAAGATTATTTTTGATAATTGAAACAAATTTTTTATTTGGGCATACTTTGCTCTGTATATTTGATGCTCTTGTTATCAAATATTTCTGTGTAAAAACTTCAAATTTTACATTTTTAGATATTTGCACCTCATTCAAGCTCCTGTTGATAATTGACATTTTTCATACGAAATGAGAAAGTATCATTTTAAATTATCTTAATTCTTAAATTCAGTGGCATTGCTTTTGGAAAAGTTTTAAATTTAAATTTTAATGTAAAATAAATTCTTTTTTCCTTAACTGAGGCAACAGACATTACCAACTAGGGTTAGCATATTGTTTTAATAAACAGTTTAAAGAATCAACTGACAGTTACCAGGCAGCTATCAAAGTTATAGAAGAAAGAATAACAAATCTTGATAAAGTCTTAGAAAAGGTATAGGAAAAAAAAGACATCTGGAACTTAAATATTTTAACTGATCAAATGTAAACTTGCAGAACTTGTATTTTATCTATTTAAACTAGAAAGTAATGTTAGAAATTTTCTGATAAAAAGGAAATAAAGAAAGAAGAATATTAATTATTTCCAAATGCTCTTTTTATCAAAAATTATTTTTACACAATACTGGATTTACACTCTTGATTTTCTTTATGAATGACAACTGACTAAAGTTTTGTATTAAAATATTTTTTTTATTAAATCAGGCCACTGAAGAGGAAAAACAAACCAAGGACTTTGATAGTCCAATATACAAGGCTGTAAAAGAAATTTCCGAACTAAAAGAACTACTCCCAGACATTAAAGCCAAGGTTGATGATGTTGAAGATGAGAAAAAGAATATGGACGATCTTAAAAATCTTGCCAAGGAGGCTTTGGTAATATAACTTTTTTTAACATGTATAAACTGTAAATTATTGAAATTGTAAATATATAAGCATCCCTGCCCTAGTCATTACATTGGTTTTAGTACTGTGGTTTTTGGAATGACTAGGAGGTCCAAAATGATTGTGTCCATGGATGAATGGTAAATGTCTTCAAATTCAAACAACTTGCCCTAAACTGCTTAGGACTTTAATTTCACCAAGGCTTCTGATTCTTTCATATGGAAAGCTATTCAACTAGTTTACCAAATGTTGATGGTTCTGATCAGGTGCCGACATGTGTCTCAAATAATGCACTCCGAGGTTAGTAAAGCTGTGTTGACATAACTTAAAAAACCCAACCAAAAATAAAAAATACACAAGTAAACATTTTACTTACTTCATTTCTACAAAAAAAAAAAATAAAGTAAATTTAAGGTAAAAAGTGCTGAAAATGGAAAGTTAGAAGTCTGCTATTTTTATTGAACTGTAAAATTTAGCAGTCCAGTAAAGAGTGTATTACTAGCGCAGTCTGATCAGGAGCCATGCTATCAGTTTCTCTACTTGTAATAGGGTTTGTAAGCAAACAACATGGATCTTGATCAGACTGCGTGGATGCGCAGGCTGGTCTGGAACTATGCTGGTTGCAAACCTTTTATGTTGGTTTTGTCATGGCACGGCTATTAATAATATTGTATTGTAGGGAGGTTTGTGTTCAAGTTCGGCACCAGCAGAAAGTGCACCAGCTCCCCCCAAGGACGATGTTAAAGCTTCCGATATAAGCCATCTAATAAAAAGAAAGGTGATTGTAGTATTTTGGTATTACTATTTTATGTAATTATTTCTTTGTTATTACCATTTGTTCTAACTTAATATTTAAAGGTACAATTGTTAGTTTATTATTAAGTGTTTATATCAATTCTTTTCAATAAAAACTGTGAAAAGTAAGTTTTACTGTTAGTGAGGTTTTCGCCGAAAGGCTGTTCGATAATATTTAGTCAATAAAGTACCTTAATAAATACAATAAAGTATGAAAACTTTCCTGATATATCAGTCTGTGCGAAAGTCCGTCGGTCCTCGGTCCTGGCTGAATAAAAATCATGCGGTCCGAGAAAAATTCCTTTCCGTCAGTCCTCGTGTCCGAATAAAATTTCAAAAAGTTAAAAATATCAATGACCTGATTGATAACAAGTTCCCGGTGACGCAAAGAATTAATTAAAGAAGATATTGACCAACCTTAGATCTATTTTGTACCTGTCAAATAGACCTAAATACCTCTCTGTCTTCAAAAAGTTTCATCAACAACGGTAAATTTTGCCGTAAATTACAGATTTGAAAATTTTGTTTTATGATGCCTGTTGAAATAGCCGATTAGTAACAATCTTAAAATAATCAAAAAATATTTAATCTAATATAATCAAAATCAACAACAAGTAGAATTGTGAATGTTTCTGCAGGAAACAGACAAATTTTCAATTGTCACATATTTTCGCGATGCCACTTTTTAAAAATCGTATTAAACAAAAAGGAAACTTTGTTTTGTTAAAATGTGTGTAATAACACTTAAATGTAGTTTAAGAATTAAAATTACTAAAGATATTGTTCACATTAGTTGAGATGGAGGTATTTACCAGTATGTGTTTGTCACATACAATGAATATTTTCTTATGGGAGGGGGGGGGGGTGTGGTGTGAATCTGGAAGAAAACAGCATAATGGTTTGATGATGTAGGGTTTTTAGCTCACCTGTCACAAAGTGACAGGGTGAGCTTTTGTGATCGCTTTTCGTCCGGCGTCTGTCCGGCGTCCGTCCGTAAACTTTTACTTTAAATGACATCTCCTCATAAACCACTAAGCTAATTTCATCCAAACTTCACTGGAATGTTCCTTTGGTGGTCACTTTTAAAATTGTTCAAAGAATTTAATTCCATGCAGAACTCTGGTTGCCATGGCAACCGAAAGAAAAAACTTTAAATATCTTCTTTTAAAAAACCATAAAAGCTAGAGCTTAGATATTTGGCATGAAACATCTTCTAGTGAGTGTCTACCAAGTTTGTTCAAATAAAAGCCCTGGGGTCAAAATTGGCCCCGCCCTGGGGGGTCATTGATTTTCCCTATATGCATATAGTAAAAAATTAAAAAATCTTCTTTTAAAGAACCCAAAGAGCTAGAGCTAAGATATTTAGCATGAAACATGTTCTAATGGGTGTCTACCAAGTTTGTCCAAATAAAAGCCCTGGGGTCAAAATTGGCCCCGCCCTGGGGGGTCATTGATTTTCCCTATATGCATATAGTAAAAACTTAAAAAATCTTCTTTTAAAGAACTCAAAGAGCTATGGCTAAGATATTTAGCATGAAACATGTTCTAATAGGTGTCTACCAAGTTTGTTCAAGTAAAAGACCAGGGGTCAAAATTGGCCCCGCCCCGGGGGTCATTGATTTTCTTTATATGTGTATAGCAAAAACTTAAAATCTTTGGAAAAACCCAAATAGCTAGAGTTTAGATATTAAGCATGAAACATCTTCTAGTAAGTGTCTACAAAGTTTGTTCAAATAAAAGCCCTGGGGTCAAAACTGGCCCGGCCCCAGGGGTGTCATTGTTTTGAACTATTTGTGTATAGTAAAAACTTTAAAAAAATCTTCTTTTAAAAAGCCCAATGAGCTAGAGCTTAGATGTTTAGCATGAAACATCTTCTTATGGGTGTCTACCAAGTTTGTGCAAATAAAAGCCCTTGGGTTAAATTGGCCCTGCAACGTTTAGGGGGGTTGGTGGGGCCGATATACAGGTGAGCGACCTCAGGGCCATCATGGCCCTCTTGTTGAAATTATATTTCAAATCTTTTCAATCACTTTTATGGTACAGTGTATTCCATTTGGGACATACCAACTACCATTTTCCTGAATAATAAGCTTTTTCTCTGTTCAAACTCCGACTCTCAAACCCCTAGCTTACTCTGCTAATAAACATCATATTCGTCAACTGCATAAGTGCAGCAAAGATGGCTTAACATATTCAACGTGCTCTGTGCTCCTACTTTTCTGTGCTTGGGAGTCCAAGGACTCCTCCTTTGAAAATCCTAGTGCTTAAGTTATTTCAATTGGTCAGCATGTTCTTATGTTTCTATATTGATGGTCTCACTAATTTAAAGAAAGACAATCATTTTTACATTCAACCGAGTTATTATAAAACAATGCTTGAAATGTCTGGGCCGGAAAAATATCATCCGGGCCGGAAAAAAACCTAAGTGTCTCGTTCCTTGTGGCCTGAAAAAAAATTTGACTTTGGCATAGACTGATATATTAAGGTTGTAGTTTAGATAAACATTGAACCTTCATGGAATAAATGCTATATTGTATGTAACATATATTTAACAACTATATTGGTGTAATAGAGAAAATCGGAGGAGGCAGAAGATGAAAGTGCCAAGAAGCCAAAACAAGAAGCTGGAGATGGTGATGCTAAAGTAAATGGTACATCAGACAAGGTACTAGCTCTTGTTTACTATCCAGACAAGCACACTACCCTTTAGATCCATTTAAAGCTGATATGAGATTTTTGTGTCACCTATACAGAGTAGTGGCAACATTAGGGATCACTTTTCCGTCATCTGTCTGTCTGTCTGTCTGTCCGTCTGTCCATCACAAAACTTGTCCGGACTACTCCTCATAAACTACTGGTGCAATTTCATCCAAACTTTACAGGAATGATCAGTACCAAGTCTAGGTGTGCATATTGTCAGCATTTTCCGGTTCAATGAATTTTGTCAGAGTTATGGCCCTTAAATAATTTTTAATTTTAAAGTTTGTCCGGACTACTTCTGTTATACCACTAATGCAATTTCAATGAAACTTGACAGGATTGATCTGTAGCTCAGGTCCCTGCGCATATTGCACAGGTTTTCTGGTTGAATGATTTTTGGCAGAGTTATGGCCCTTTGATAAAAAGGTGTTTTTTATGCTCCCCGAAAAATTTCGGGGGAGCATATAGTCAGTATAGGGGCGCCTTGTCAGTCTGTCCGTCCGTCTGTCTGTCCGTTTTCTTGTCCAGAGCATAACTTGAAAACCCTTCGAGATAATTTGTTTAAACTTCATACAGTGGTAGAGGGCATTGAGGGGAGTGCAGTGTCAAAGAACCATAACTCTATTTTGCCCGGTTTTTGAATTATCTCCCCTTAAAGAAAAATCTTGTCCGGGGCATGACTCTAAAACTATAAGAGATATAAACATGAAACTTTGTAGGTGAATAGATCTCAATGGGTAGATGTGCAGTGCATAAGAACAATAACTCTTTTTGTCCTAATTTTGGAGTTATTGCCCTTTGTTAATTTCAACACTTTGAACTTTGTCCGGAACATAACTCTAAAACTATAAGAGATATCAAAATGAAACAATGAAGGTAGATAGATCTCATTGAGTAGAAGTGCAGTGCAAAAGAACCATAACTCTGTTAAGCCTCATTTTTGTATTATCTCCCCTTATAGAAAAATCTTGTCAGGGGCATAACTCTAAAACTATAAGAGATATCAACATGAAACTTTGTAGGTGAATAGATCTCAGTGGGTTGATGTGCAGTGCATAAGAACAATAACTCTTTTTGTCCTAATTTTGGAGTTATTGCCCTTTGTTAATTTCAATACTTTGAACTTTGTCCGGAACATAACTCTAAAACTATAAGAGATATCAAGATGAAACATTGTAGGTAGATAGATCTTATTGAGTAGAAGTGCAGTGCAAAAGAACCATAACTCTGTTAAGCCTCATTTTTAGCTCACCTGTCACAAAGTGACAGGGTGAGCTTTTGTGATCGCTTTTCGTCCGGCGTCCGTCCGTCCGTCCGTCGTCCGTCCGTCCGTAAACTTTTGCTTTAAATGACATCTCCTCATAAACCACTAAGCCAATTTCATCCAAACTTCACAGGAATGTTCCTTTGGTGGTCACCTTTAAAAATTGTTCAAAGAATTTAATTCCATGCAGAACTCTGGTTGCCATGGCAACCAAAAGAAAAAACTTTAAATATCTTCTTTTAAAAAACCATAAGAGCTAGAGCTTAGATATTTGGCATGAAACATCTTCTAGTGAGTGTCTACCAAGTTTGTTCAAATAAAAGCCCTGGGGTCAAAATTGGCCCCGCCCCTGGGGGTCATTGATTTTCCCTATATGCATATAGTAAAAACTTAAAAAATCTTTTTTTAATGAACCGTAAGAGCTAGAGCTAAGATATTTGGCATGAAACATCTTCTAGTGAATGTCTACCAAGTTTGTTCAAATAAAAGCCCTGGGGTCAAAATTGGCTCTGCCCCAGGGGGTCATTGATTTTCCCTATATGCATATTGTAAAAACTTGAAAAATCTTCTTTAAAAGAACCCAAAGAGCTAGAGCTAAGATATTGGGCATGAAACATCTTCTAGTGAGTGTCTACCAAGTTTGTTCAAATAAAAGCCCTGGGGTCAAAATTGGCCCCGCCCCTGGGGGTCATTGATTTTCCCTATATGCATATAGTAAAAACTTAAAAAATCTTTTTAAAGAACCGTAAGGGCTAGAGCTTGGATATTTGGCATGAAACATCTTCTAGTGAATGTCTACCAAGTTTGTTCAAATAAAAGCCCTGGGGTCAAAATTGGCCCCGCCCCAGGGGGTCATTGATTTTCCCTATATGCATATAGTAAAAACTTAAAAAATCTTCTTTTAAAGAACCCAAAGAGCTAGAGCTAAAATATTAAGCATGAAACATCTTCTAGTGAGTGTCTACCAAGTTTGTTCAAATTAAAGCCCTGGGGTCAAAATTGGCCCTGCCCCGAGGGTCATTGATTTTCCCTATATGCATATAGTAAAAACTTAAAAAATCTTCTTTTAAAGAACCATAAGAGCTAGAGCTTAGATATTTGGCATGAAACATCTTCTAGTGAATGTCTACCAAGTTTGTTCAAATAAAAGCCCTTGGGTCAAAATTGACCCTGCCCCAGGGGGTCATTGATTTTCCCTATATGCATATAGTAAAAATTTAAAAAATCTTCTTTTAAAGAACCCAAAGAGCTAGAGCTAAGATATTTAGCATGAAACATCTTCTTATGAGTGTCTACCAAGTTTGTTCAAATAAAAGCCCTGGGGTCAAAATTGGCCCCGCCCCAGGGGGTCATTGATTTTCCCTATATGCATATAGTAAAAACTTAAAAAATCTTCTTTTAAAGAACTCAAAGAGCTAGAGCTAAGATATTTAGCATGAAACATGTTCTAATGGGTGTCTACCAAGTATGTTCAAATAAAAGCCCTGGGGTCAAAACTGGCCCCGCCCGGGGGGATCATTGATTTTCCTTATATGTGTATAGCAAGAACTTAAAAATCTTCTTTGGAAAAACCCAAAAAGCTAGAGTTTAGATATTAAGCATGAAACATCTATTAGTAAATATCTACAAAGTTTGTTAAAATAAACGCCCTGGGGCCAAAACTGGCCCTGCCCCAGGGGTGTCATTGTTTTTAACTATATGCATATTGTAAAACTTGAAAAATCTTCTTTTAAAGAACCCAAAGAGCTAGAGCTATGATATTGGGCATGAAACATCTTCTAGTGAATGTCTACCAAGTTTGTTCAAATAAAAGCCCTTGGGTCAAAATTGACCCCGCCCCAGGGGGTCATTGATTTTCCCTATATGCATATAGTAAAAACTTAAAAAATCTTCTTTTAAAGAACCCAAAGAGCTAGAGCTAAGATATTTAGCATGAAACATCTTCTAATGAGTGTCTACCAAGTTTGTTCAAATAAAAGCCCTGGGGTCAAAATTGGCCCCGCCCCAGGGGGTCATTGATTTTCCCTATATGCATATAGTAAAAACATAAAAAATCTTCTTTTAAAGAACTCAAAGAGCTAGAGCTAAGATATTTAGCATGAAACATGTTCTAATGGGTGTCTACCAAGTATGTTCAAATAAAAGCCCTGGGGTCAAAACTGGCCCCGCCCGGGGGGATCATTGATTTTCCTTATGTGTATAGCAAGAACTTAAAAATCTTCTTTGGAAAAACCCAAATAGCTAGAGTTTAGATATTAAGCATGAAACATCTTTAAGTAAATATCTACAAAGTTTGTTAAAATAAACGCCCGGGGGTCAAAACTGGCCCTGCCCCAGGGGTGTCATTGTTTTTAACTATATGTGTATAGTAAAAACTTAAAAAATCTTCTTTTAAAAAAGCCAATGAGCTAGAACTTAGATGTTTAGCATGAAACATCTTCTTATGGGTGTCTACCAAGTCTGTTCAAATAAACAAATAAAAGCCCTTGGGTAAAAATTGGCCCGGGGGTGGGGGGGGGGCCTATATACAGGTGAGCGACCTGAGGGCCATCATGGCCCTCTTGTTGAATTATCTCCCCTTATAGAAAAATCTTGTCAGGGCCATAACTCTAAAACTATAAGAGATATCAACATGAAACTTTGTAGGTGAATAGATCTCAATGGGTAGATGTGCAGTGCATAAGAACAATAACTCTTTTTGTCCTAATTTTGGAGTTCTTGCCCTTTGTTAATTTTAACACTGAACTTTGTCCTGAACATAACTCTAAAATTATAAGAGATATCAAGATGAAACATTGTAGGTAGATAGATCTCATTGAGTAGAAGTGCAGTGCAAAAAAACCATAACTCTGTTAAGCCTCATTTTTGAATTATCTCCCCTTTTAGAAAAATCTTGTACTGGACATAGCTATAAAACTATAAGAGATATCAACATGAAACTTTGTAGGTAGATGTATCTCAATGGGTAGATTTGCAGTGCACGAGAATCATAACTCTGCCTTGTTTAATTCTGGAGTTATTGCCATTTGTTTATTTTCACTTTTTGAAGTTGTCTGGAACATAACTCAGAAACCATAAGAGATATCAACAAGAAACTTTGTAAGATGATCGATTACAGTGATTTGAAGTGCAGTGCAAAGAACAGTAACTCTGCCTTTCCTAATTCTGGAATTATTGCACTTTGATCTTTTTCCAGGGACATAACTCTGAAAACCTATTCGGGGAGCATCACCCGGCTCAAACGGGGCTCTTGTTTTCTGTGTGTTGCCAGATACGCAAAAGCTTGTCCGGACAACTCCTCATAAACTACTGGTGCAATTTTATCCAAACTTGACAGGAATGATCAGTACCAAGTCTTGTTGTGCACTGTCCTTCTGTCTGTCCGTCGGTCACAAAATTTGTCCCAACATGAAATTGGCCATCATGAGCCGACACATGTGATTACTGATCGCTCTTGTAATTATTAATGGTTGTCTCAGCCAAACAGGTGAAAGTAATTCACTGTTGCAGACTTTTAGTCCACTTGTTACTAAACATTTATTTGAGCCGCGCCATGACAAAACCAACATAGTGCGTTTGTGACCAGCATGGATCCAGACGAACATGCGCATCCATGCAGTCTGATCAGGATCTATGCTGTTCAATTACAAACCCTATTACAAGTAGAGAAACTGATAGCGAACACCATGGATCCTGATCAGACTGCGCGGATTTGCACCATTATTGTTCAAACAAACTCTTTAGAAATTAACCTTATTTTAATATATTCAATAAGTTAAGCAATTTTCATGAATTTTATGTCATTTATAGGTAAAGTGCATTTGTACAAGATAAACTAATTTTCATTGTAAAATTTTGCAGAAGGCAGAAGAAGCAAAGCCAGAAGCTATGGAAACTAAATCCTGAAAAAAATTAGGCAGATCAACTGGACTTGGCTTAGACTTGGTGAATTGTGTTCAAAACTTTACAATATCATATGGCTAGTGCTTTAAGCACATGATGAATTATTGGACAAATTATGAAAACAAAATTCATTGAGCCAATGTTAGTATATCAAAAGTGTTGAGTGAATATTTGGTGCCATGTTAAATGTTTGATACCAATTTCACATTATTGAGTGTATATAGGCAGATGACAGTAGCTGACATGTAGAAGGTTTCATTATTCTCAGTGTTCATCTTTATGTAGTGATTTAATACATTTGTTCAGCAACTTCCGTCTTTGTCTTTTATTATGCCCCCACCATGTAATGGCTGGGGCATATAGTGTTACCCTGTTCCAACATTTTGTCCTTCCATCCTTACGTCCTTCCGCCATTCTGTCATTCCGTCATTATCAGTTTCCATTCATTATCTTAAGAACGGTTGCACACATTCAACTCAAATTTGACATATGGATATGTCATGAGAAAATACAGGTCAAGTTTAAATTTGGTCATGGTTAGAAGATTTTTGGCGGAGTTATGCCCCTTTTACTTTGAAAATAATATGAAATTTCAGTTTCCGTTCATTATCTCCCTAACGGTACAACACATTCAACTCAAACTTGACATATTGATTTGTCATGAGAAAATACAGGTCAAGTTAGAATTTGGTCATGGTTCGATGATTTTGGGCAGAGTTATGCCCCTTTTACTTTGAAAATATGAAATTTTCAGTTTCTGTTCATTATCTACCCAACAGTGTTACATATTCAACTTAAATTTGATATATGGATATGTCAAAGGAATGGGCAGGTCAAGTTGGAATTTGGTCATGGTTTGATGATTTTTTGGTAGAGTTATGTCCCTGTCACTTTGAAAATAATATAGATACATCTTGGGAATGAGCAGTTTAAGTTTGAATTTGATCGTGGTTCAATGATTTTAGACAAACTTATCTTTCCTGAATGTTGGAAAAATTTTGAACTTTCAGTTTCAGTACTCATATATTTAGCCATTATTTTGGCTACAAATATGCAATATGCTATTTTTAAAAGGTTAAGACTGAATAATTTCAGTGCCTTGAACATTGTATGAAAATGGTTTATTTTTACATTGAAAAGTTTTAAGGGCTTTGAACTTAAAATGAAAAAAATAATAAATGCACCATCTGAAATTTTGGCTGCATGCGGGGGCATCCGTGGCATGATGACACATTTCTAGTTTCTACCATAAACTTATAATTAACTTAACCATTAGCCTGCTAGCTCAACCTATGCAACAGTGCAGACCAAGATCAGCTTTGCCATCTGATTATCGTCTGCACTCACTGTTCACTATTCTATTGTTGCATTTGAAAATTTCCCTAAAAATGACTGATTTATTCAAACTAAATGGTAGACAAGTCCATAAAGATATTTAGCATGGTACTGTAAGGATTTAAAAAAAAGTGAAGCACAGTGAGATGTTGGTGCAAGAACCAGGTCTGTAGCTCAAAGGTCAAGGTCACACTGACTTAATTAAATAAAGTGTATTGATGTTTGTGTCTGAACAATTCTTTCATCCCTGCATGGATTTTAGAATAATTAAGCATAAATATGCGTGAAATAATGTTTCGCCACAAGAACAAGGTTTCTAGTTTAAAGGTCGGCATCACACTTGATTGTAGAAGGCATAGGTGTTCGGCGCGTTGATTGGTCACTAACCACCCCCACCCCTCACTTACTCTACAACCCTCCTACCTCTCAAAACCATGTAAACTGCAGTATTTTTCATTTTAAACATGTTTTAATCTTTGTTACATGTTTTTTATTCAATTACCTTCATCCTCACAAAAAAATAAAAAATGATATATGTATATATATTTAGTAAATTTACTAAGGGTTGTAGAATGTGTGTGGGGGGTTAGGGGAGTTGGCCCGGGGGTAGTGACCAATCAACGCCCCGAACATGTATAATTATGTCTCCCAAAATCTTTTCGAGTCTGTCCGTCCGTCTGCATAAAGCATGTCTGGCCTGCACTGGTCAAACTACTGGTGGGATTTCAACTGAACTTTACAGGTGATCAGTACCACTCATTGTTTTGCACATCCCAGGCATGTGCTGCTTTGCTGCACAAAATGGCCACCAGAGTTAAATATATAAAATATTTTCCGGCTTTCACAAGAGTTCAGTACCATTCCTAGTTGTGCATATCATGGCATATTCCATTTTGCTGCTCAAAATGCCCGTCAGAGGTATAAATAGAAAAATATTGTCTGAGCTACTGGTGGAATTTCAATGAAATTGGTAAAGCTTGCTTGATACTTCAGAAGTCAACAGATATACAAATATAGCTGATTCAACACAAAGAATTAATTATTTGCACACATCTGAGAAGATGATTTTTCTTGTGATCTTTTGCCATTTTTATCATTTCAAAGGCGACACTTTCAAGTGTTACACAGTTTATTATCCCCCGGCAATAGATAGGGGGATATTGTTTTGGCGTTGTCCGTCCATCCTTCCGTTCGTCCGTCCATCCGAATGTCGTTTCCGGACTAGTTCTCTGAAACTACTGGCTGGAATCCAACTAAACTTTATGGGAATCATTAATATCAAGAGGAGATGCCCATATCGTCAACTTGTTCCGGTCAGACCCTTTAGCTCAGAGTTATGGCCCTTGATTAGTTATGCAGTATGCATATAGAGTTAAAATCGTTTCTGCGCTACTTCTCTGCTACTACTGGCTGGGATTCAACGAAACTTTATGGGAACCTTCAATACCAAGAGGAGGTGCGCATATCGTCAGTTTGTTCCGGTCAGACCCTAAATTTAAGGTATTAGCGCCCTAATGCATTACCTCCGCTTTGAAGAGTATTCAAATAGGCTAGAACTACTGTTAACTTCATTGAAATGAGGGCCATTGGTTTCTCTTCTGCAATTATTCTTCTGGATTATTGATGCGTTTTAGACTTCATCAAGTGGCATTGGTTTCGGATATTGAAAAGGCTTTTTTACAAATTGGCTTACAACAGGATCAGCGGGATGTCACACGATTTCTGTGGATAATATATATAAACAGAGCAATTGTCAGTAGTGATGAACATTTAACCAGTAATTATAAAGATGAAGAAAAACAAAAAGAGTGTGGAATACCTAATGAAGAAAATTAAATGCAAGCAGAAGATAACGATGAGAGAGAATGTGAAATAAACGTAAATGATATGGAAAATGAGGAACGAGATGAAACAAATGATAATAGCTTCCAAGGTAGAAGATGACAATTTAACGGCGGCGAATTTGACTATAAGGATTGTGAACAGGAAAGTGATTACATTAATACGCAGCAAAGAAGTGAAGAAAGTGATCATGATTCTATGAGTGATAACGTGAGTGCTACATATGATATAAATAATGACGTAAGCTCAAAAGACGAAAACAACAACGACTATGAAAGTGATGTTTGTGATTACCAGTAGTGTTGAGGATGATGAAGTGATTTTAAGCAGTGATGGTGAGTCTGCACATGGAAACATTGACAACAAATGCACAGATGTAGTGCCGTCAGAAGTTACAACAAGGACTCAAACTTTGAAATTAACATTTACAAAGAAGACGACATACATTGGACAAAATGAAATTGAGACACACATGAGTGCCGATCAAGAATACTATGATGATTTAGAGTAAGTTTAAACTTTGGCCGGGAGTGTCGCGAAGAATGCGATAAAATTATTGTTTATTTTGTTATTATCCGCCGGCTTGACACTAAATTGTTGTGACCGCCGGGTATTTGTTGTCACCGTCCGGTTTATATTTAATTATATTTACATGATTTTCATAATTTTTACGTGCAATACGTGGTATATTAAAGGAATTGCTATCTTGTTTTAGTGAGTTCGTTTTAGCTCGTTAAAAGTAAAGGATTATTATGTTGAAAATTAAAGAAATAAAAGTTTAAAGGATGTAAAAAAGTTATTTTAAATCCAGCGAAGTAAAGATTGCTACAAATCCCCAGAAGGGTCAACTTTTTTTTCCTTTTTTATTTTCTTTTAACATTATTTATATATCTCTTATGTCCCATTTAGAAAGAAAAAGTGTTTAATTTTGATTTTTTAATTTATGAGGTATCTATTGGCTAAATAATGCTAAATCTAGAAATTAATATGGTACCTGATATTTTCAAAGTGTAATATAATCAAAACTAGACGGTAAAAGTATTTCATAGTTTACAAGATCAACCAATATACTTTTTTAAAAATTTAGGGAAACTTTGAAAACAGGCACTCATTTGGGTAATTTCTAAGAATTTTTTAAATTAGGCTCCCTAAGTAGTAAAATGGTCAGACACGTGGTAAAAATGGGCGGGGTAGGGTAACATTTTTATATAGATTTCATAAATTTTAGGTAGATACCATAACTTTGCTTATTTGGATTGTTAGCTGAATGGTACTATTTGTTTCTTACCAAAAATTAATGGGAAAACATTTTTCATTAGAATGTTATTGCAGATTATTTAAAGGTTCCTAGTTTCTAAAAAAGGGCCCTCTTAACATCCTAGCTTGAGTTCAGAAAAGTGGCCATAACTTGATTTCCGTACGGTTAACTTTGTTTAAATTTTGCATAGGTGTACTTTAAGGTATACATCTGACTTATGATGTCAAGTTTTTAGTGCCCATTAGGGTCCTTATACCTTAACTCAGAGTTTTGGCCCTTGATTACTTATGCAGTATGCATATACAGCAAAATCGTTTCCGAACTACTTTTCTGCAACTACTGGCTGGAATTAAACAAAAATTTATGGGAACCTCCAATACCAAGAGGAGATCCGCATATCGTCAGCTTGTTCCGGTCAGACACTTTAACTCAGATTTATGGGCCTTGATTTGTTATGCAGTATGCATATAGAACATAATATTCGTTTACGCACTACTTCTCTGCAACTACTGGCTGGAGTTCAATGAAACTTTATGGGAAACTTCAATACCAAGAGGAGATGTGTATATCATCGCCTTGTTCCGGTCAGACACTTTAACTTAGAGTTATGGCCCTGGATTATTTATGCAGTATGCAACCAGAGCAATAATCGTTTCCGTGCTACTTCTCTGTAACTACCGGCTGGAATTCAACGAAACTTTATGGGAAACTTCAATACTAAGAGGAGATGTGCATATAGTCGCCTTGTTCCGGTCAGATACTTTAATTCAGAGTTTTGGCCCTTGATTAGTTATGTAGTATGCATATAGAGCAATATTGCTATTTCTTTCCAACTGCTGTATCGATTTCAACAACACGTTATGGCAACCATGGA